TCAAGAATGTGCTGTGTCCCACTGGGAACACAAGTAAGAAAAAGAGCCCTGGCTCTTAAGAAGCTTACAATTTAATGCAGGAAGATGACATGCAGAAAGAAGTTGAGAAGGTTGCAGAGGAGAACTATCCCTTTTACATACAAAAGTTAGGTCTCCCAGTGGCATAGCTGCTCCTTTTTATGTCCTGTTGTAAACAGAGAGAACCCTAGTAACCTATGTGAGTTGTCCTTTTTTTTTCTTTCCTTTGTATTTTAAAGTATTTCAGTTTTGTATTTTAAAGAGCAGCTAGAACTTTGAGTACTTCTTAGATTCTACAGACAGAATTCAGTTTTAATGAAAACCATTGTATACAGTAAATTTTTATTGTATAATAAAGTTTCTGTGTAACTGGTTTATCTACTAAAACTAGCTAGGTGTTACCTGTCATCTCTGACTCATCACTCTGGTGAATACAGCCAGTTTTGTTGGGAAAAACAATCCTTTTTACCATCTTCACTCTTTATGGAATAGTCAGAGTATTTGATGAAGCTCTTTTTGCTTTGCTAAAGATGTTAATATAACTGTAATTGTTGAGTTTCTAAAAAGACCTGATTTAAGAATGCCGAAAGGTTTTGACACTGTCTCCCCCACTTCTTCCTCCCCATGGGGCTGCTTGAGACAGTGACAGTGGTGACCTGAGTTGACAGAGCCATCTCATGGACTTCTGAGGGACTTGTCTGACCTCCTGTTTTTCCTGCCATCCCCATGGAGAGTGTGTGCGCATTGAGCTCCTCCCAGCCTTACCTTCATAGCTCACTTCTCTTTTTTTGCATGCTTCCTTTTAAAGTCATGCCCTTCATCTTCCAACTGTTGTTACTCTCGAAGGTCTTTTTTCTTATTGCTCTTCTTCACCTTTAAGAGTCAAAAGCTGATCTCTAAGCAGGGCCAAGTAATATAAGGGTGCTGTGATAATATACTTTTATCAGGCAAGAGGAAAGCTACAAATTTCCAAGTTATATTTTTAAAAATTGCCATAAATTTCCAAAACCTTTGAAAGTACTTAGAAGTACCCTTTAGAAGGTTCACAAACATACCTTCTCATAATAAATGTGCTTTTACTCAAATATTCAGGAAAGGGAGAAAAAAATCTTAAAATTTTATTTTAATTTAATTTTGCTCTTGTTTAATGATTGGAATCAAAACTATAGTTTTCTTGCTATTTTTCTTTTTGGTAAAATATACAATACATTCATTACATCATTAATAAATTAATCTTTTGTGAGCCGACTTGGTACACTAACATAATTTATAACAGTACTTCTGATCTCTCTGTTGACCTCTAATCTCTTATCTCAAACTGCCTTTCAGACATCTTAAACTGGATGTGCAGTAGACATCTTAAATTCAACATGTCCAAAGCCTAACCTATTATCTTTCCCGATAAATCCTTCTCCACCTTCCCTCTCCCCTCTTACTGTGTAGGGCAACACCATCCTCCCACTCCCTGAGGCCTATAGCTTAGGAGTCATCCTGGATTTCTTACTATTTCTCATCTTCCATATCCAAACTGTTGCCAAGGCCTGTTGAATTCACCTTTGCAATATCTCTTGAATACATCCCATTCTCTGCTTTGACATTGCCACCATTTTAATGCACACCCTCATCACCTCATGCTCGGACTATTACAATACCCTACTGGTGAGTTTGCCTGCCTTAAGTCTCTACCCAATCCATCTTCCATTTTCAGCCGCCAAAGTGATTTTCCTGAAGCTTGGCCATCTCATCCCCCTTCTCAGTAAATTCAAGTGGCTCCTTATTGCCTCCAGGAGCAAATAAAAAATGCTTAGTTTGGCATTCAGAACCCTTCATAACTTAGCCCCCCTCCTACCTTTCCAGTCTTCTTAGGCTTTACTCTCCATTTTGTATTCTTCAGTCTGGTGACATTGGCCTTCTTGCTGTGCCAGGAACAAGACATTGTATTTCTTGTTTTGGGTCATTTTCTCTGGTTGTCCACCGTTCCTCAAATGCTCTGCCTCGTCACCTCTGAGGAGGTTGGAAAAGTTTTACTGTAGAAGGTGGGATTTTAGTTGGAACTTATGAGAAGCCAGGAAGCATCTCAAACCCAACATGTCCCACACCAAACTTGTTATTTCCCCTCTTAAACTGAGGGCTCCTTCTAACTTCCCTATTTTTGTTGAAGGTCAACCAGGTTTGAAATCCCTTTGTACCTAAACTCCTCATGAAGGACTTTTCCAATAGTTATTCCACTTTCTCTCCTCTTATTGTCTTCTCAACCCCTTACCATCTGGCTTCTGACCTGACATATATCATTCGACTGAAATGGATCACTCCAAACTTACCCAGTGATCTCTTAGTTGCCAAATACAATGGTCTTTTCTCAATCCTTATTCTCCCTGTCCTCTCTGCAGCCTTTGACACTTGATCACTCTCTTGTCCTTGATACTTTCTTCTCTCTCTTGGTTTCCTCTTGCCTATCTGACTACTTCTTTTCTGTCTCCTTTGCTGGATCCACTTCCAGATCATGCCCTCCAGTCATATGTCCCCACCTCTATTCTGATAATTCTCAAATCTGCCTTTCTGCCCCAATCTCTCTGCTGATCTTCAATCTCTCATTTCTCCTCCAACAGCCTCTCAACATCTTGAACTAGATGTTCAATAGACACCTTGAACTCAGTCTGTCCAAAACAGAACTCCTTATCTTTTCCTGTTAAATCCTCACCTCCCCCTTTTCCTATTCCTTGTATAGGCAGGGCAACACCACCTCCCCAGTCTCTCAGGCTGGTAACCTAGAGGTCATTTCGGGTTCTTCACTATCTCTTATCCTTCAAGTCCAAGCTGTTGCCAAGGCCTGTCAATTTTTATCTTTGCAACATCTCTCGAATATGCCCCTTTCTCTTTGACATTGTGCATAACTCTGTTGAGTCTGCCTGCCTCAAGGTTCTGCCCATTCCAGATTCGTTCTTCCTTCCATAACTAAAGTATTTTTGCTAAAACAAAGGTCTGATCACATCACGTTCTTCCCCCCCCCGCCCCCCCAAAAAGCTCCATTGCCTCCCTCTTAGCTCCAGGAGAAAATACAAACCATGCTCTTTGGTATTCAAAGCCTTTTGTTACCTAGCTCCCTCTTTCCTTTCCGGTCTTCTTGCACCTTACTCTCCAGTGACCCAGGCCCCCTGGCTGTTGTAAACCAGACTCTCCCTCTCCTGCCCCTGGGCATTTGGTTTGACTGTCACTTTGCAGGGAACATTCTCCCTCTTGAGACCTGTTTGACTGCAGACCTGCCTGATTTGTACAGAAAGCCTTCCCCGACCCTTCTCAAATGCTTTCCCTCTTTTGATTATTTCCTGTTTATCCTGTATGTCCATATTTGTTTTTGAGTTGTCCCTCCCATTGGATCTTAAACTCCTTGAAGACAGGAGCTGTTTTTTTGTCTTTCTCTGTATCCCCAGCTTTTAGTACAGTGTTTGACACGAAGCCAGCCCTTGATAATGTTTATTGATTGATTATCACTCTTCACTCTCCCTTATCCCCTGTATCCAGTCAGTTGCCAAATCTTATTGATTACCGTTCCTCAGGAAGGACACAAGTATCGAGTGCCAGGGACTGAATTAGGTGCTTTACAGCTATCTCCTGTGATTCTGATGGCAACCTTGTGAGGTAGGTGCTATTATCGTCCTCATTTTATAGTTGCAAAAACTGACACAGAGGTCAAAGCGATTTGCCCAGAGTCACACAGCTAGATTTGAACTTAGGTCTTCTGACTCCAAGTTCAGAGCTCTATCTGCTGGCTGACCAGTATTTCTCACATCTTCACATTTTCTCTGTGCATACCACAGCTCTTCATCTCTCTCCTAGACTTTCAGTGGTCTCCTAGTCTCTACATCCAACCAGTCTTACACATCTCTGCCAGACTGGTAATGTTATAAGCATAGATCTCATCCTACCGTTTCCATATTAAAGAAACTTTAATGACTTCCCATACATAGCCTTTAGGGTAAAACACTTCTTTATCTGGCATAATGCTTCATAGTACTGGCCCCCTCCATCCCTGCACTGTACTTTAGAGCAGCTGTGTGGCCTCGTAGAATAAGGTGGTAGACTTGACATTAGGAACAGCTGAGTTCAAATCTGGGCTAATCACATGTCGACTCAGTTTCCTCATGTCAAAAATAGGGATAATAATAGTGCCCACCTTACCAGGCTGTTGTGAGAATCAGTTGAGATAACTTATGTAAAGTGCTTTGCAGATTGTAAAGCATCATACAAGAGCTTTTTGTCCTCCTTCTCCTCCTCTTCATGCTTCTCTCCCCTCACCCCCACTTTGTGTCTAGTCCTCCATGACTGGAGTGGCCAGTCTCCCCTTGTACCTCTCCTTCAGAGGTTCTGTGCTGATTCCTCCAGTTACTACTTCCGCTCTCATCATTGTGTATGTCTTTTGTATGTATCTTGTATTTACTTGTCTATTAATCTCTTCCCTCCTACCCCTCCTCACCCACCCTCCCCGTTGTTGATGAATTTAGCTCAGAAGATCTTTGACTTTGGTCAAATCATGTAACCTCTCTATGTCTTTTCTTCATCTATAAAATTTGGGTAAAAATACTGAGCAGTATTTATCTCAAAAGGATTTTTGTAGGGAAGACAATATTAACTGTAAAGTGAAATGTGAAGGTGAGCAGCTGTTATTTATTCTCATAATTTATGTATAGCTGTAAAAAGTTTTTTTATTTTAAAACTCTGATATTGTGCCTAAACAGGAAGTCTTAGCATTTTACAAGGCTATAGAGAATCATAATTTTAATTAAATAAACTGCTTTACAAATTGTAGGTGAGCTGGCATTTAATGTTTCTAGGTTGATTCGAATTTCTTGATAATAAGTAAAAAATAAATGTCTATTGCCCACAGTCATTTTTTTAAAACATGTGTGATTTTCAAAAATAATCTGTTTATATGTCCACTTCCTTCTTTTGAACTAACTTTCCCTCCTCCTCCTTCCCCCTAGGTGGATTCTCCACTGTGTTTCTGGTACGGACACATGGTGGGATACGTTGTGCATTAAAGCGAATGTATGTTAATAACATGCCTGATCTGAACATCTGTAAAAGAGAAATAACAATTATGGTGAGTAAGAGAATAATTAAACCTTTGAAATATTTGTTGTGTACTTATGTAGCATCGAATGACTTTCATTAAAGCTCTTAAAATTTGTTTACATATACCTGATCCCCTGACTGTTGTTTAAATAATGCAGGAAAAACAGTTAACAAGCATTTATTAAACATTTACTTTATGCCAACTACTGTGCTATGAAAAAGGAGAAAACAAAAACAGTTGCAGCCCACAGGGTGCTTCCATTCTAATGGAGCTGACAGTACTTATAATTAGGTTTATACAAGATGTGTTGTTTTGGTAAAAGGTATAAGCCTCATCTTGGTGATAGGGGAGGAACTCCCTTCCGTGGGGGGAGAGAAGGGGGGGGTGGGCGCAGGCCTTAGAGCAGAGTCCAAGGCCCTTAGCATTGGTCAGGGCTCTTGGATCAGTGGCTGTGGTGAGAGAGAGGAATTCCTTGTCACTGAGGCACTGGGTTCAGGCCCTCAGCTCTTGTTTTCAGGAAGTCTTGCCCATGAATTTTTTCTTTTTTTGGCTAGGTAATGGGGTTAAGTGACTTGCCCAGGGTCACACAAGCTAGTAAGTGTTAAGTGTCTGAGGCTGGATTTGAACTTAGGTCCTCCTTACTCCAGGACTGGTGCTCTATCCACTGTGCCACCTAGCTGCCCCAGGTCCTGCCCATGAAGGTGCAGCTATCAAGAGTCCTGGGCCCAGCCTGGTCAGTGACTTAGGGACCTAAGGGGCAGGGAAAAGTTCTCTTTCTCTGGCTTTTGGGGTTGAAAGTGCCAGCCCTTGTTCTCTCATCCTGCCTGTGGAGTTGGAGTGGTACAGAGTCCTAGTCCCAGCCCTGGTTAGTAACTCAGGAGCTCGGGGGAGCCTGAATTGGTGGTCTGGGCTTTGCCTTTGCAAAACGCAGAAGTGCTTAGGTGGAATTCTGACAGGAAGGACTACTCCAAGAGGCATTACCAGAGGGTTTATTAGTGACCCACCCACAGTCCCCACTGCCAGAGGCTGGTGGTGGACTTGAGCAAGATCTGGAGGAAAATGAGTTCAGATCCTGCTTCTGACCCAGTGCCCGTGCTGCCTAAGGGCTTCAGGCAGGGAGTTCCTGCCACTGATGGAATCACGTCTTATCCTTCCCCCAGAACAGTGGCAGCTGTGACAGCAGAGACCCACTGTAACAGATTAAGCGCAGTCAGTTCTGAAAACTGCACTACTTTACAGTAACTCAGAAGCTATGGCCCTTCTGATGCCCACTTCCATAAGCACACTTCAGCTTTTTGTCATGGTAAAGGGCCATGTTTATTGGGTACGTTCTGGTGGAGGACAAGCTGTGAGGGGAGGAGGGGTGCTGGTTCTCGCCCCAGCCCTCCACCCCATTCTGCCATGCCCGAGGCCAGGAGTTCCAACCTGCCCGTCTTGATGTTGAAGCCCTAAGCAGAGGTGGGGAACCTGTAGCCTTGAGACCATGTGTGGCCCTGTAGGGCTTCAGGTCTGTCTCCCCGCTCCCCCCCCCCCAGGCACAGTCCAAGCAGTGGTCTCAGGTGGCTGTCTTTTGTTGTCATATGTGTGTATTTCTTAGTAATTTAATATGTATAAAACAGTGCTAGCAGTTTTATTAGATTCTTGCATTTTTTTAAATGTGTCACTGGTGAAATTCTTGAGGGTTGGGCCTGTAAACTCATTTCCCTCATAAATCAGTGTACACTGATGCATGATGAGGTTGGCAGGGCCAATTACACAGAACCAGAAATTAGTCATTCAAAATGGGTTTCTATTTGTTTTTCAAAAGCTTATGTGATATTTTTTTTTTCCATGTAGAGTATTGATTGGAAGGGAACTTTGAGGAGTTTATTAGAAGCACATTGTAGCTATATCCTATTTGTGGCCTCTCTTATTAAATTTGGAGGGAGGTAGTTAATATACTAGGCCAAGTAAAGCCTGCTTAATAACTCTGAAATTAATCTGACAAAATCAGAAGCATTCTAAAAACCTCAATTTTCAGTGTTATAAAATATTTAGATGTTCAGAATTTGGGGGTATGTGTGTGCATGCATGTATGTGTGTGTGTATATATGTATATGTATGCTGTGTTCATTATAAGATAAAATTAGTTACATGATTTGTTTAATGGTAAACTTGGGAATTGGGGGTACCTAGGTGGTCCAGTGGATAGAATGCCGGGTCTGGAGTCAGGAAAACCTGAATTCAAATTCATCCTGAGACACTTATTAGCTATATGACCTTCAGCAAGTCACTTCACCCTATTTGCCTCAGTTCCTCATCTGTAAAGTGAACTGGTGAAGAAAATGGCAAACCACTCTAGTATCTTTGCCAAGAAAACCCCAGATGGGGTCATGAAGAGTCAGACACAACTGAAATGACTTAACAACAAAAATTTGAGAATTAATACTTATATTTTATGAAGTCTTAAGAAGTAAAATTTTGGCCACTTTGGTTTGACAGCAGATAATAAATTGAAACTTCATGGAAAAATAACAGTTTTGATTTGGATTTTTAAAAATTTTAACTTAGGGGTTTTTTTTAAAGCTCTCAATGGTGCATTAAAAAATATAAAGCCATTTCTAGTTTTATTTTTAAAAATTAAAACAGTGGTCATCTTTTACACTTTCTCTCCCACCCCATGGGAGAAGGAGGAGATGAACAAATTCTCTGTTACAGATAAGCAGTCAAGCAAAACAAATTCTCTCACTGGCCTTGTCTGAAAAATACATGTCTCCTTTTTCGCCCTGAGTTTATCACCTACCAGTCAGGCAGTGGATAGCATGCTTCTTCATTGGTCCCTTGGACTCATATTTGGTTATTGTATTGATAAGAGTTCTTCCATTTTTCAAAATTGGTTGTTTTTATAGGGTATTTACTATATAAATTGTTCTCCTGGTTCTGCTTATTTCATTCTTTATCATTTTGTACAAGTTTTCAAGAAAGGTCGATCATTTTTATATCATTCTTGTAAATTATTCTTTTGATTCTACTCATTTCACCCTATATCACTTCATATAAATGTTAACATGCTTTTTTAAAAAATCATCTTTTTCCTCTTTTTTTTTTTTAACAGCACAGTAATATTCTATTAATTCATAAACCAGTGTGTTTAGACCTTCCTCAGTTGAGGGACATCCTCTTAATTTCCAGTTTTTTTTCCACTGCAAAAAAGGGCTGATATATTTTTGTACACAGGGTATCTTTTTGTGGTATAAGCCAGTGAGATTAAAGGGTATATATTATTTAGTAACTTTTTGTATAAATTCCAAATGAATTTCCAGAATAGTTGTTCTACTCCCAGCTTCACTAACATTCAGTGTGCCTGTTTTACCACAGCCCCTCCAACGTTTGTCATTTCTTTTTTGTTATCTTTGCCATTATGATGGGTATAAAGTAGAACTTAAGAATTTCTTTATTTTGCTTATCTCTGTAATTATTGGAGCATTTTTTTTTCATTTGGGGAAGTGGAAGAAGGGTTATACCTGACAAAGTGCTTTACAAATATCACCTAATTTCATCCTTACAACAATCCTTCTAGGTCGGTGCTGTTATAATCTTCATTTTGCAGTTGAGGAAACTGAGGCAGACAGATTTAAATGACTTGCCCAGGGTTACACAGTTAGTGTCTGAAGCCAAGGGCGTTAGCTGCTTCGCCAGTTAGCTGCTTCACTGGCTTTGGATAGCTGGTTTTCTTCCTTTGAGAATGGCCTATTCCCCGCTTTAGACAATTTATCAGTTGGTTCTAATTTTCAGGGCTTAGGCCAACCCTATTTTTCTTTTAATTGTACTTTTATGTGTGTTCTTTGCTTATGTATTATTTAGGAAATAGTTTCAGCTGCTGATAGCTTATTATAGATAGAATCTACACTGTGCTTTGCTTTTAGTGATAAAAAACGTGATATTATCTGTATTTTAAGATAAGTGATTTAGTATCCTTCAGCGTACCATTTTTCACGTTAGAGGAAGTGTTGAAGAAACCATTGTATTGAACATTTTTAAGTTGCACACATTCTTTTTTACATTTTGCATCAATAATGGGTAAGATCTTATAGAAAATATAGTCTTACATAATTAAAATTTTTTTTTTCTGGGGAAAAAAAGTTTGAACTCTGATTTAATTGCCTGTCTTACTGGTTTCTGTTAAACATTTAAAACATTGAATTGTGCTAAAGTATTAACAAATGAAAGACAGTGTTATAGTAGACAGGACTTTTGGTTTTGAAACCAGGAAGACCTGATTGGGCTGATGGAGTTGAACTTCTTCCTGGTCTAGACAGACTATATGAGTCTTAGAGAAGGTACCTATCATATTGGCAGAGGGATTTTCCTTGGGGGAGTGGTGGTGGTGTTAATACCCATAAAATCACAGTTCTCCCTATCTTTAGTAATTGTCATATGAAAGGTTGTTCTGAATCCCTAATGATGGTAGTAATGGAAACCAGAGCAAGTCTAAATTTACTTCTTTTGTAACAGATTGGCAAGAATGAGTGAAATATGGTGGTGTTAGTGAGGCTGTGGAAGGATAGACATGGGTATGTATTGTTGGTGAGGCCATGGCTTGATCCAACTATTCTGGGATCAGTTTGGAGTTATATTGGAAAGAGTATGACGTGCTCGTTCCTTGTGGCCCAGAGATCCCAATGCTAGGTATATACTGTAAAAAGATCAAGAATCAGGATGAAGGAACCTATATGCACCAGTATATTATTTAAAATTTTTTAAAAACAATGCTGCTGCTGTTTATTTTTTTTGTGTGCTTTAATTTCATTATTTATTAATTTTTCTGAATTCTAAATTCTCTCCCTCCCACCCATTTCCCACCTACTGAGAAGGCAAGCAATATGATGTCAGTTATACATGTGAAATCGTGGAGAACATTTCTGTATTAGCCGTATTTAAAAAAAAAACAAGAAAAATAAAGAGAGAAAATTATACTTTAGTTTGCACTCAGAGTTTATCAGTTCTGTCTGGAGGTGAGTAGCATTTTTTCATCATGAGTCCTTTGG